TTGATAATCATTCATTTTGATTGAACTTTCATCTTGTCCATTTCATGACAGTTATCTTGCTCCTTCTCATGTTTCACCGGTTCGGGTTGACCAATTCCTTGTTCGACGTCATTTAATATTTCTCTTGAAGATACACCCACAATATGAAATAAAATACCTTTTCTGACATTTGTCGGACAACAATCATCAAAATTGAGTTACATATCTTTTACCACATTAAGAATACTTGTTGATGCTTCCAAGTTCATAACACACTTCTTCATTGCTAACAAGCCAATGATTTTGGAGATATCACCTATCATATTCCTTGAGCTACCATAAATGAGAACTTATATTATCTTCATAGAGCCAAGCCATTTTCCCTACACAATCAACAAGAAAATCTAGATACTCAATCTTCATTGGGTCCTTGAGGGTAAGTAGAACTTTAGTTGCATTTAGACAATCATTGATAAACGCCTTTAGGAATTAAAAACTTCTTGAGTTTGTATTTAGCAATGGTGTGACCTTTCACACAACAATAGTGACAAGTCAAGTTAAGATGAGATAAACTTTTTTTCTTTGATTTCTTTTCAACAAATTTATACCTCTTATAAGGGTCATGAGAAGGAAATTTGTATTTTGATGTATCAATGGAAAAATTTACCTTTGGTTCTAGAGTCTTGTTTAATTTTACTTTTAGAGATCTAGCCTTTTTTTTTTGCCAAATGTGACAAATATCACAATCAAAGTCAAACCACAGGATTTTTTCATGTTCATATTTTACTTTTTGAATTTCTACCATAGAATGCTTTATAGCTTCCATTTTCTTTTCGATTTCAATAACCTTAGCTTCCAAGTATGAAAAGATCTTTTTGTTTGAAATTAGTTTTTTGAAAGATTATATAGCTTCCCTATGTATATTTTAAAAAGCATTAAGCAATTCAGAATGAGACGACCTATTAATATGTTCATGTTTAAGATGACTTACATTTTTTTCTTCCTTTCATGATAATGAGCTGATAGAAAAACTGCATCATGTTTTGATGGTTTGATATCCTTTTTCTTCTTTTCATGATAATGAGGTAAGACACAAACTTCATCATATTTTGATAGCTTGACATCCTTTTTCTTCTTTTTATCATAATAAGTCGAGAGACAAACGGTTGTGGATTCTTCATTATCACTTTGGTCTTCATCACTTGAGAAGTCACTATCACTTCCCCAAGCTACATAAGCTCTTCTAGACTTTCTGGCTTTTTTGTGTTGACCCTTCTCATTATCTTTATCAAGTAATAGACATTCTGACTTGTAATGGCCAAACTTTCTACAATTATAACAAGAACGTCTTGATCTTCATTTCTTGTTGTCCTCTTCTTTTGAGGATGTAGATTGTCTACTAGACTTGGTGAGGTTTTTGTCAGAATTCCTTACACAATTTCTTTTGATATATCTATTGTATCTTTTTACAAAGATTACCATATCTTTATCATCCGACTTTTCATTGTCACTACTTTCACAATCACTTTGCTCATTTGTTGCAGACTTTGAATTAGAAGCCTTTAGAGCAATGAACTTATTTTCAACTTTTTTATCCTTGCCTTTCTCCTTCTTTAGCTTTTTCTCATCCCTTTTCTCATGGTTCTCTAAGCAAGAGAGTTCTTGATCATGTTCTTCAAACTTACCAAACAATATAGTGAGATCAACTCTAGTAAGATCATTAGCTTCCTTAATCGCGATGACCTTTGGTTGTCAATTCCTAGTAAGACATCTCAAAGCTTTATAAGTAGCAATTTCATTAGACACGAGTTTTCCAAGTGCATTCAAACAATTAATGAGATGAGTGAACCTCTTTTGCATTTCGGTAATGATTTCACCATGCTTCATGTAAAAGAGTTCAAACTCTTGATTTAGTGTATTAGTTCTAGCTTGTTTGACTTCATTGATTCCCTCATGGGCAACTTGCAATGCGCTCCACATAGATTTAGCGGTTTCATAATGGTAAACACGATAAAATTCATCAACACCAAGAGAGGACATGGAAATGTTTCGTGCTTTCCAATCGTAAGCACACTTTTTATTATCATCATCATTGCGTCGTGCTTCTGATTTGAGTGTTGTGACACCTTTTACGATTTCAGCAATTTTCATTGGACTTTTTACAATAGCATCTCACACACCCTTATCATATGAGTTGATATGAATGCGCATACAATCTTTCCAATAACCATAATTTTCACGGGTAAAAATAGATGCTCTATCGTACGCCGCTTTAGGTTCGGTAGCCATTATCTAATAAGTGTTTTTAAAGCACACGAAATCAACTGGACTCTTGATGCCACTTGTTAGACGACAAAAATTTATCCATAGTGGATGAATAGATCCCCAATGAAAAATATTTCTCAAAAACTTGTTTTAAAATTTAAGCAAAAACTATGGCAAGCAGAAGTCGTATCCTAGATCACAAGTCGTCCAAACCGAACTGATTATAGGAGGCTCAGATATGTGTACAATATCAACTACTCAATTGAATGATCATAATAAGGTGTTAATACAATAAACTTCTCAAGTAATTGTTTTACAATTACAAGACCAACAAATATCCAATAAATGATAAAATCAATTGATACAATTTATCGAACACTTAGTGTGCACTTAATTTTTCAGATTTTCCTTTAAGCTTTTTTGATATCAAACACTTCTCACAATCAAATAGATTGTAAGATAATCAACAAATGATTTAACAATCAAAAGAAATACATATATGAAATAATGTAGGTGAGTTCAAAAATTCATTTATGAATCAGAGAAAAACTCAAACTAAAGATCAATGCAAGCAACGAGGGATGAAATGAGAGAACTCTACCTTAAATTGCAGCTTATGATGCTCCCTTTGATGTGTTAGAATGCACAAAATCTAATTTTGAATCGAAAAGTTGATTGCTAATGAGATTTTTTCAAGAGATTTTTTGGTTATTGAGGTGTTTGGTAGTGTTTGAAAAGTGAGGAAGATGATCATGAAAGATGGCCATATACTCAAATTCCCGCTAATCATTTTAGGAAACACATCTTCAAAAATACCATTGAGTGATAAAAAAATTTAAGTGTAGCAAAGGTGACTTCGGACATGCATCTCAGAATTTACCCTAGGGGTGAATTTAGAGATGCATCCCCGAACTAAATTTTGCTAAAAAATGGTATTTGGTGCGTTCAAAGATGCATCGTCGAATTGACTCTGGCACATTTTCATATTTTCATATTTTCAGAAGTGCGTCCCATATAATAAGGGTGAGATGAGAAATTACCTACGTATTTACTTCGCAGGTTTTTTTTATTTTGGAGGGGCGTGTTGAGTGTGCTCAAAATTCTAACCCAACCTGACATTTTTTAGTAGGTAAGCAAACTATGACCCGTTTTAACACTCCTAATGTAAATGATATAAAAGTCACAAACAACAACACTTAAATTGAAGCATTCAAAAGGAAGATGAAAGTTGAGTTTGAAATGACACACCTACAAAAACTTACATATTTATAATTATGAAATTTTTAGAAACACCAAGAGGTCTAATATTTCATCCGGTCAAGTATGAAACAAAGATTTTGAGAAATTTTGAAATAATTGACAGCAAGTTTAACTGCACCATTAGAAGCAAGACCAAAACTCGAAGAAGATAAAGATGAAGATGATGAACTTGTGAATCCTACAATATTTAGAAAATTGATTGGCTCACTAAGGTATCTACATCAAAATAGACTCGACATCTGTTTTTCAATTGGAGTGGTAATAAGATTTATCAGCAAACTATTAAAATCTCCCTTGATATCTTCCAAACGAGTGTGTTAAGATACATCAATGGAACCATGAATTATGGCATCTGTTTTTCTGTTGGAGTGGTAATAAGATTTATAAGCAAACCATTAAAATCTCATTTTATATCTTTCAAACGAGTGTTAAGATACATCAATGGGACTATGAATGATGGCATCTTATTTTTAGGGTATGCAAGATAGGCTACAACACATAGCCTCAAAATTTTCGATATTAATTTATAGCTAAATAAGATCTCAATAGATTTGTATTGGTTAAACATTGACTAAATAAGACCCAATGTTATATTGTTATGATTGAACCGTAACTAATCGATACAAAATTTTCAAAAACTTAAGGCGGCCATGCTTATTTTCTAAGTATTAAATGCTAACTAAGTTGGAAATAAAAGTTTTATGCTGGTGTGGTGACAAGGTGGATAGAAATAGGATATGTGGTTATCTATTCAAATTTTAAGGATTATCAGTTTGTTGGTATTCTAAGAAACCATGTGTTATTGTCTTATCAGGTTGTGAAATTGACTATAGGGTCGTTTGCAGCTTTTCAAGAAAATTGGCTATAATCCCCTCATGAATGGCTTAAGGATGAGCAGCAATGTTGCAGTCAAGTTGAAGATAGACAAAAAAAATCATCCATTAATTTCAAAAGAAATCCTATTAGCCAAGAGAGTAGAAAGCACATTGAGAAAAAAGTTTTGTTACCTCATAGATCATGTGCATAAAGACTAGCTAACAGTTGAATATTGTCCTACTAAATATCAATGGGAAGATTTGTTCACCAAAATTGTCAAAAGAGACCAATTTCCTAGGCTAAGAAGATAAACTATAATTGCAACATTTGATTAGTTTAGGATTAAGAAGGATTGCCAAGTTTTGTAATCATGAAACTAATCAAAACAGTATATGCTTGTTTGTTGCTAGTTTGTTTAAAACTAGTTAATAACAACTAAGTTTATGAAGGTAGTTACTAGTTTATTTGCTCAGCAAGTAAACTAGTTAATAGGTGGTTAATGATCTATAAAATCACCCTCCTTCTTGTATTTGATAATCATTTCAGTCAATACACATTTTCTATAATCTTTCTCTCTCAAGTTCTATCTCTTTTTCTAGTTGATTGAGTTGCAAGGCAACTAGCTAAATTGGCTCTAGTCCATCAATAAAAATTTGCATTTAAACCTGAACAAACCATGATCATCTTGGATGTAAAATTGAAATGGAAATTTCATTTGTTGATGAAAATTCTTCTTTGTTTAAGGTAGAGACAATTTCATGTGGATAAAACCCGGGCTTCCTTGGACTAGGCAATGCTCTCTCCCCATTCAACATTAGAACAACAGATGACATTTCAGGCCTATCATTTGCTCTATCTTGCACACACAAGAGTCCTATTTGAATACATTTTAATGCCTCATCCATAACAACTGAATCTTTAAGGGACTCATCTATCATCTCCAATTGTTTATCCTCACTCCAAAGTCTCCATGCCTAAGAAACAAACATAAATATAAATTATGGTTTTGTGAAAAGAAAGAAGAAAAAAAAGAGTTTAGAGCACCATGGCAGGCAAAGGTAAATTATAGGAAAACATTTAGGTGCTATTACATGTCCAATGAGGTTAAGATTATGTTGTGGGTTAAAAAAATCTCTGCTCTTCCTCCCACTGATTATTTCCATAACAATAACACCGAAACTGAAGACATCAGACTTCACTGAAAAATATCCATATACAGCATACTCTGGAGGCATGTAACCACTGCAACATAATAAAAAATTTAAACAAAGGAACAATAAACGTTATAAATAACATAAACTAATTAAATCGAGTTTCGGATTTCTTACTGAGTTCCTACTATTCTTACTGTATTGGCCTCAGCACGATCTCCACCAAAAGCTCTAGCGAGTCCAAAGTCTGATATTTTTGGGTTCATATCATTATCAAGAAGAATATTACTGGTTTTTAGATCTCTATGGATGATCCTTACTCTAGAGTCTTGGTGAAGATACAGAAGTCCTCGTGCAATCCCGCTTATAATATGAAAACGTGCATTCCAATTCAATACTTGACTTTTAGTTTGATCTGACAAATTCCACATAAAAGTTCGCATGAAGATGACCTTATAAGAATTTAGAGAAGAAGAGAAAAACTCGTACCAAAAATAAAGTTGTCCAAACTTCTGTTAGGCATGTATTCATAAATCAATATTCTTTCATCATTATGAATACAGCAACCAATGAGTTTCACAAGATTTCTATGCTGAAGATTTGCAATCAATAGAACTTCATTTTGAAATTCCTGTGACCCTTGTGCAGATTTAATCGAAAGCCGCTTGACAGCAATCTCTCTACCATTTGCTAGTACACCCTGTTGATCATTCACTAGAAATATAAAAATCATAGATAGATTATGATAAGCAAGCACGCTGCGAAAATCTATTCATGATTCATGTCACCTTGTAAACAGGTCCATATCCACCTTCTCCAAGTTTGTAAACGCGGGAGAAGTGATCGGTAGCATTAGTTATGGTAGAAAAATCAAAAGTTAATATGTCAATGCTCTCCATCTCATAATTCATGTTATCTTGATGGTTAATTGTTGTATCCCTACCTGAAATGTTAGATTGTTATGATTAATGAGATATAAATATAACAAGATAACAAATACTTCTTAGGAAATTCAAAAAATAATAGAAAAAGAAAAAGAAAAATTCTCAAAATTCACCTGACTTCTGAAGTTTTTTCCTCTTTAGAAAGATGACATATCCAATTGTTGTAATACTAAAGAAGAGGGCTCCAATTCCTATTAAAATAACTAGTAACATTTTCTTCTTTGTGTTATTAGTTGAACTACCTGAGACACCAAGAGAACTTTAAGTCCATAAACGAACAACTGCTAGTTTTTTCTTTTATTTGTAACTTCCATAAGGAATGATATTTCTAATATGAACTTTTATAAGTTCTTGCAAGTTTCCAATATTATGTTGCAGAGGTGTCAACTTAGGCGTAACCTCGATGGAAGGGCCTGAGTTCAAATTTTACCTAGAGCGACTGTGAAATGGTCGTCGTTGTTATTGTTAAGAAATGTGGTTGAGCCTAACTCATCCTTACAAAATTTACTTGTAGGGTGAGGATTGTCTCCACTTATAAGCATATGTTCAGACCATATATTGTCCGGTGTGAGACTCTTAAAATATTTCCTCACACCCAAGACTGAACATTTAGAGCGTGGAAATAAATGTTGGGTGACTCGATCGCAGAAACCGGATAGTAGGTGGTCCACCAGATCTAAAACCTGGCTCTGATAGCATATGGAGAAGATTTTGAGTCTACATTAATATGAGATAGAGCTTCTAAAGAGTCTGTATATAGAGAGAAATTTCTCACCTTACAAGCCGGTTTTGTAAGGATGAATCAGATCAAACTCTAATATGATATCAGAGTCTATCGATCGGAACTCTTGAGGCACCTACGTTTATATCCACACACCAAACCCAAAAGAGAGTTGGGCGTGAGAGGGTGTACTGGAAGATCCAAGTCCCACATTATAGAGATAGAACTTCTTCTAAGTCCCACATTGTAGAGATAGAACTTCTAAAGAATTTATATAGCGAGACATCCCTCACCTTACAAGTAAGCAGTCTTGTAAGTATGAGTTAGGCAAAACTCTAATAATTTACTATTGTAAATTGTGATTTCCTACATCAAAATGTGCAATTGAACACCTAATGACTAAAAATATTTAAATTTATGATTCTATTAATACTAAAAATAACAAGAAAAGTACCTAATTCTGAAGCAGCCATTCTTATGTAAATCTCTTGCCCAACAGAGATTTCTGTCTTCATATCAATGATATTATTGAACCAAATGATGCATCCACTTCCACCATTTTCAATATTTAAACTCGCATAAGCTATACAAGTACAGTTTTTCCGGCATTGTTTCTCACACTCCATAAGATTCATTTTCTCGTCAAACCATGACGAAGACGTATCTGGCAACTTCTTCTTTGTATACTTAACAAATCTGTCTCTATCGTCACAATCCAATTTCACCTTCCTAACACAGCCATCAGCATAATCTGATGATTTGAGTGAGAAACCAATGAGACATTCGCAAGTGTTCTCCACATTACAATCAGAATTTACACCACATAAATTATAATTATCACACGGGACCATAGGGGCAGAAAATATAAGTTTCCAAGTTTCTGTCTGATCTGACCAAAGGTAACGTTGCACAGAGCCTGTTGGGGTGATAAGGTATCTTGAAACAATCGTGTCATTTAACGGTTCATATTCAAATCGAACTTGTTTCTCATTTAACTCAAAAGAAAAAGTAAAGTAACTACGGAGTGTTTCCCAAGGAACCCCGCTAAAGAAAAGACCACCCCATGGACCTTGTCTATAAATTAATACTGATCCCTTTGAAATAAACAGTTGAGGAAAACCATTAGAATCTATATGATACGAAAATTCACCTGTTCCAGGATCACCTGTGTTTTTCCATGATGTCAAAGAGTTATGCGCTCCACTGATTCTATTAGTTTGAAGTATCATCCCTGGTAATAAAGTATCACTAGGATAATCAAAGCTTTGCCACCAAACATCATTAACACTTCCGTTTCGTACGACAATGTTTCCGGTGTCCAAGAGCAATAGAAAAGGATTCTCTACAACTGCTGATGCATTCAAGAACCAAATATTGTTCCCTGAGCCATCAACTATGACGGGATTTCCTGTATCAGTGAGTTTGAATACTCCTGTTGAGTTTTGCAGTGGTATATCTCTATTGGCTACCCAAACAATTGTCCTTTGGTTTGGATTCTTGTACCATATACAAAAGTATATATCTTGTGAATCTCCCATGCTGGAGAATCCTGCTTGGAATTTTCCAGTTTCGGAATCTAGGTAGTCGTTATATTTAATGGATTTGTCTGGAGTGAGGCTTCTGAGGGAGATGACAATGGGAATGAAGAAGATCATTAAGTTAGTGTACAGAACAAATACGTTGTTATAGGTTCTAGTTCTAGCCATTGCAAATTTATTGGTGTATAGTTTTTCTAGCAAGGGTTTTGTTCAAATCATTTCATGTTTTGGCAAACTGTCTTATGAGGAAAAATTGTAAAGTCAAGTCTTTGTGTTAATCTCTAAATGCAATATTTGAAAAATCCTCTAGAACTTAGACATTAGACCATTTCAGGTCAACACACTTAATTATTCAAAACTCGAATAAACCACTTCAAATGAACCATACCTATTCATAGAAAAGTGTTTTAAAAATTGACATGCAAAAATATTGTCTTTAAAAATGAGACTTACCTATCATAGCATGTGTAAGCTTGACACTGGCAAAAATATTGTATTTTAATGAAACTTACATATCATAGCATGTGTGAGATTGACACCGAGGCAAAAATTCATTCACATCACTAATCTTGATCCACCACAAGATTGATTTTCGCTCTTCACTTAGCTTAACTAAACCAAACTCTGATACCACTTGTTAGGAAGTTTAGGGAGTGTCAGAAGTGTCAATGGGCTAAATATTCATAGATCCAAGAGACTTTGACGACACCACATATTCATCCGAGTCATTTCTCTTATATATCCGACATTGATATATACGAGTTCAAATTTCATTATAGAAATGTAAATTCAAATTCAATGAAGACTTGGTTCAAATTTGATAATAACCCAGTTCATATTACATCCTAAAATCCCAAAATCAATCAATACATCCTACAAACCTAAAAAACAACAATCAAAATAAAAACCAGGATGGTAATCTTTGGCAATTGATTTGTTGATTTGTTAAAGATTTTCAGGAGCTCTTCATTGCACAACATGAATAATAAAACAAATCAAGTTAGGATAACATATAAAAGTAGAATAATAAAATAAAGATACAAATATATAAAAAGAAAATGTATAAAGTAGGTGGAAGAAAAGTGTATATTTGATTATGAAAGGAAAGAAGTAAAGGGGTATCTAACTGAGGCATTTTTCGTTTTCTTATCTTTCTACTAAACCATTGAGAATTCTTGAACTTGTTGAGATGTAAAGGAGGGGGAAGAAGGATGAAAATTCCTGGGCTTGTTGACATGCTGGATTGGATTTATTTATTTTTTTAAGGTTGGTTTTGGATAGAAGGAGATGGAGATGTGAAAAAGTAGTGAATGTGAGGAAGATTTGAGTTGGGAGTGATTAAACGTTCAAAAATCTATTATCTATTATCAATCTATTAAAAGTAAAGTATCTGGAAATTATAAGTCTAACCTTTTGATTAGATGTTATAACTTTTTTTATTCCAATGGTATAATAGACTAATCAATATTATGCTGTTACCATATTCATTTGACATTTAATTTTGCTGACATGTCAATCTATCATAATTTTACACTATTTTTTATTTATTTGATTTATTAATTTATTTTATTTATATTTGAATTTTATTTATATTTGAATTCCAATTCCAATGTTTCATTCACGGTTAATTTATTTATATTTGAATTCCAATGTTTTTTTTTGACAGGATTTGAATTCTAATGTTTGACTCACTGTTAATGAGGAAGGAATTGGAATGGCCAAATTAGATCTATTATAATTAAATGGAATATTATTCATTGCATGATTTAAAAATACCCACTATTTATCATTACACTACAGATTAAATGTATATTATTGGAATTAGAATGAATTATTTTGATATTACAAGATATCACAACTTCTCATGCATTCTAAACCCTATATATAGTCATTCTAACCCTAAAATGGGATATCTTTATCTTTAGGTTTGAGAGTTGCAGAAGGTGATTTTTGAGCTTGCATGTGACAAACAACACAACCATGATATTGTTTATTTTTTGCTGTTAGGTATGTTTTTTTTTATTCAGATTTTATTTCTCAATTTTTTTAATTTTTTTAATTAAAATATGAGGTTGAGTTTTGGCTTTTTTTATTTGTTTAGTCTTGGTGAATACAAAGCTCACACATATATATTTACGATTGATTCTCCAAATAGATAGAAGCTTATTTCTTTTGCTTCCTCTTTCAATTTATTATTAATCTATTTAAATTTCAATTTCTCCCATCACATGTTTGATAAAAGAATGCAGTATATTCTCATCAATTTTGTTGTTTATTTTGCTTACTATTATATTTATTTGTATCTAATTGAGATTTTTGTATTTATTTTCTTGACTTAATCGGTTCTTCTTTTGGAATATGTATGGATATGGAGGCTGATAATTGATTTCACACTTGAATCAGTAGGGACCAATCAACAAATTGAATTTTTATACATTGATACGTAAAATGAAATTATGCTGATTGCGATTTGATTTTGTCATGTGAAAATAGGTTAACAAGGAATTATCAAACTTTACCTCACGGTCGACTCAAACATTTGTTTTCGAGGTTGAAGATAGAGAGAGGATTAGTGGTTCGGCTTGTGGGGTTCAACAGGACATCTGTTGCACCAATGATCTTCCTAAACTCACTGTGTGCAATGATGGACAGGGCTGTCACCGGCCTTCTCCCATGAATTCAAATTGGCCTGAAGTTTATGGCGTGGCTTTTTAATGCTTTATAATATTATTGTTTGCAGAGTTGTCTTAGCATTTTAAGTGCCAATATTCACCATGGTCATGGCTGAGTGACCATTTGCTTCTCTAATTTCACAAACAAAAATATTGCTAAAGAAGAATTGGAGACAGCCACAACAGAACCAGAGACCACTATTTTAAATCTACTTAATCGAGTCGATTTTCACATGTGATTCATCAGCAAATCCAAGTGTTAACTTATATTTTCATTCAAGTTATTTGATAGTTAACCTTATAATAGTAAATATATGTTCAATATGGTATAAATGATTTGATTTCCCGAGCATTTGATTTCCATCTGCAGCCGTAATTGAAGATTAGGAAATTGAAACCATTGAATTTTATGCTTCCACAAGGAATATCAATGGCTTTCATTGGCAGGTACTGATTATATACTAATTGTATTTTCTGACAGATAGCAAATGCAAATGTCTCATTGCAATGTTTGGAGGAACTGTTTTTGGAAGACGAACGAGATTTTGATTAACATGAGGATAGTCAAAGGGATGAGACTCTTATTCACCCGAAGTTCTAAAGTAATATGTTTTTAAGGGTTCAAGAGTAGCGGGTGTTGCTGAAGTTCACTACCAATTTCAGAAGAACCATAAGCAAGGCAATAATTATTTAAGATTTATAAGATGATAAAACAACGTTGATATGCGATCATTTTCTGGTTCTATAGAAAATGTTTTTAACAAGATTTGATTCAAATTATGTATATGTATATTATTATTACTTTCATATTTTGTATGTCATATCAACATCGGTTTTGACATAATATATTTTTCTACTGCAAATTATGTTGGTCTATGTTTTAATGGAATTTATTTTACACCAAATTCTAAGTTCTTTTGAATGTAGCATTGCCTCTAGCAAACAAACTACTCTAAGTTTCGTTTAAATAGAATGTCTCTTCTCCTAAAGAGAAGATAATAACCTACAAGTTGGTGTTGATGTGCCTTCAAAATTCTAATTTATTTTGAATTGAAATTATAATTCTCATTTTTCGTGAAATTTGAATAAAATTTTTATTTTGTATTGATATTTTTTTATTTTTAATTGCTATAATTTTAGAAACAAATATTACAATTTTTAATAAAATATTTACGATTTATTTTTTTAAAGTACGACTAATTAATATATTTTTATACAATATTAAAAACAAATATTATAATTTTTTAATCAAATATTGGAGTACCATTTAATTCGATACTTTACCAATATATCTTTTGAATGGAGACATTATTATCATTTATTTTTATTCTACTTATATGGAAATTATTTTGAATGGTGACATAAATATATTTAATTTTTATATATGATTTGATTCCATAAAATATTATGATCAATAAAATTTGAATTCTCCTTTAATATTATAGGTTTGATATTGTTTCATATTGTAGGAATATTATATACATTAGAATATATAAAGATATAAAAAAATTAAATCAAAACTTTACAAATATATCTTTTGAATGGAGGTATTAATATTATTTATTTTTATTATATATAGAAAATATTTTGAATGGTCACATTAATACATTTTATTTTTATGCATGATTTGATTTCAAAAATTTATGATCAATAAATTTTGAATGGAATTATAATTTAACCAATAAAATTTTCTACCGACTTCTAAATATATTTGTGTATATTTTTTGAAAGGTTACATTTATATTCTTGAGGTGCTTGACAAACCAACTGTGAAAGAATCTATGTTTACGGCATGGATGGAAGCAAACAAAGCATACCCAGAGGCAAAGAATTTGACGTACTCACAATTTCTTTCCAAATTTGTTTATGATAAAAGATATCGTCGATGGAGACCGCGTAAAAGAGGAAATACAATTGGCAGACTTATTTGGGTCCCTCCAAGTACGGGTGAGTTATATTTCTTGAGAATGATGCTAACAGTCGTCAAAGGTCCAACTTGCTATGAGGATATAAAATTTGTGGGTGAAAAAGTTCAGGATTCTTTTAGGGATGCATGCTTCGAAATGGGATTTCTTAACGATGACAAGGAATATGTTGCAGCCATCGACGAAGCAAAGAATTGGGGTTCCGGGCATTTTTTACGAAAGTTATTTGTCACTATGTTACTATCCGGTACTGTCAATAGACCACGACATATTTGGGAAAAAACTTGGAGGACGTTATCTGATGGTATCCTCTACCAACAAAGGCAAAAAACAAATAGAAGAGGTATGAACACTTTATTAAACTTTTTTAAGTCAACAAATATTATTTTCCGAATGCAAGCTGTATCTTTTTTTATTACAAAATATAATGATATGAACTTACTTTAAAATATAATTATTCTTCATCCATATGTCCCTTATTTAATATGTTTCATAAGGTATGTCCATTTACGTAAGAAACATTTTCATATTTGTCATTTGTCATGTATGTAAGTTATTTTCTTAACTTGCA